AATCGATCTTATGCAAAATTTGGCGTGATCGTCATCTGCTTTACGGCAAGCAGTTGGCGACCACGTCACAGCAGATGATTATCTTCAATTCTCAAACAACACTTTGTGTAATGATGAACGCACGCCATCATGGTGTTCGACTGTTGTTCTCGGGCTAGCAACGAAGGTTTAAAAGGCCATTGTGAACAATCATCGCCATTCATCATGAGTAGTTCTAGGTATGGATTAGAGTGACGGTACTCCAAAAAAAGTGGTCCGCGGGACACGAGGCAAGCTGCCTCACGCCTTATGCGACAAGATTGTCTGCATTTGCACTATGCAAGGGGAAGCTTTGACATCTAAAGTTTGCATTGACAGACGATTAGAAATCAGGCTCGTGCGCCACTGCCAGGAGCAGGATCGGGGGCCTCCAGATAAATGAACACTTTGAATTCGCTCTGTGTATAAAAGAACGTTTATGTAATACTAATTTTTCTTAGACATACTGTATCAATATATAACTCCCCATGAGTGAAGTCACATGAAGCAGCAACGGTCGAGAAATCCTATACTCATCGATTCGGATCTACATTTGATACAAATACTTAGGGAAATACCGTCGAATTTTGAATTAGTCCGCGCAATGAGTGAGGAAAACACGCAATTTTACACGCAAAGATTTGACTAGCCATCTTTAGCGAAGCGGACGTCTGCCAATAGCGTTTATTCATGCTTCATACAGCATAGTTCAATGAATGACGCGGACGTCGGGGTGACTACTATACATCTCAAGATTCGGCTGTAAGCAGCCTCGATAAGACAACTGTACCCAAATTCTTACCGCATGGTGCTCGCCCTTAATTCTGGAAACCTCGGGCAAACCTGTCTCATCCTCATAGGAGATATGGCAAAGGATGCACCAGGTCGTAAACTAAAATGGCACCAGAGCAATCTTGCTGAAGTAAATTCATTTCAAACCCCACCATATGTAAATGAAATCGAACAAATATGTTGCTGGATGAGATTCTACAATATTCTACCGAAATGCTCTTCTGGAAAATCAGATCATAAAGAAAAACAATAAACTCATGATTTTTCGTTTGCAAACGATGATCATAGTATGATGGTCTTTAGTAAATCTATACTTCTGATGTCTAAGCACCACCTTGCGCTTTTAGTATGAGCAAGAAAACTTTTGCATCAGTTTGCATATATAACTTGGTACGAAGGTAAAGTTCTATTGTTTACAAAACTAGTTGGATTGATTGAGTAACTCTTGAATTAATGAAATATGCTTGTTGACAAGCCTTGTCGCTTGAAGCTCCTCTTAGAAATAGATGCACAACCCTGCACCAGTCTATGAATGTCTGGCAGCTTGAAGATGATGATTCGGAACGACATACAGAATCGTTAGGGATTCTATTCAGTCGACGTCTTAAAATCTTCATTGCGAATCGCGAAGCCACTTCTGCACCCGAAAAAAAATTAGTGAGCTGGAGTACCCACCTCCGCCATCCATAAAAGCAACTGGAAGTCTTGATATGTGAGGCATTTCTATACTTGATGGAAATTTCAGAAACAATTTAAAATTTACGACATGTCTTCCGGTCTTGAAGATGTCGCTCATAATACTGCGATCGTTCCTTTCTTGCTGAGGGTAGCGTGCATGATTACTATGTTAGTATCGATAGGCAAGATCAAGTATATTCCTCCAAATTGAAGGCGTGGTGGTAGCAGTCATCATTTTAGTAGTTTTTGTCCCAGGTTACCACTCCAGGAGTTATCAAAACTGCCAGCTATACTTCTTCAATTTCAGCGATACCAGTACTTATTTATTTCCTTCTTACAGGAAAAAAGGTTCGCATCCCTACCTTGACAGTTGTACCTACTGATTGGAATTTTAGGAGCGAATTATGTGCCGCATGTGAGTCAGAGGACACCATGCCACAAGTTTAAAATTTTACCGTTGATCTGAACACCTCGATTTGCATGTGCGTCTGGATCATTTATAGCCGCAAACTTGGGATAACAATGTTGAGTATTTGCTAGCTACGGGCTAACACTTTCGTTATATTGCAGATACTGATCAAAGCGGTCTATATAAGGTTCATTGCGTCTTTTCTATTGCCTGAACCACCACTTTTGCCCGAAAAGATTCTTGTGGTGGCGTGAGATCGCTGTGCAAGTTACGTAATTTTGAAGCGCGAGTAATATATTCTAAAGCGCGATGTGCGATTGCATGCATGTCTTCTACATCCTATTAGAGATAGCCGATCCAAGCAGCATCAGTTTGTTGCGACATCCGGGTTATATTGTAAATCATCACGAAAAGCATACGAGTGGTTCACCTACGTAAGTATATTTTCTACAAATTCAGTTCTGACATATCACTTGAGTCTTCGAGATGGTTCTCACGAGTCAATTAAACGACTCAAAAACTGTTTTTTGACGGAGTCTCTCATTAGCAAACAATATCGTTAAACTTCTTTTGTAGGTACACCTACTTTGATACTATTGTGATTTTCTGTTATGAGTGGAATAGATTCGATGCGTTGTTCCCAACGTATATGGCACGCGTCCCGGAGCTTACTCCCGCTTCATATTCAAGACTACTACAACGAAATAAAGCTGGAGTTTCCGCAAATGAGCTAGTCCAAAGTTTTGCTGTTTTGTTTTCAACGTAAACATCTTATTGTATCGGTCGAAAAAAGGGTCGACGGTGGCGAAAGCTAACGACAGGAGCACAAAACCCACCAAAATGTAGACTGCAATCACCACGCCTCCAATTTAAAATCTTGTTAATTATTACTAGAATAATAATCGAGAAAGAAACGGTCACGATTTCTTGAACAACAAAAAACCAATAAAAAGTGTCATGAAACTTGAAGTTGTCATTAGATTTGCTATTGCCTAACAAATTAAAAATGTCCAATTAACTGGTGGAGCCAACAGAATTTCTATTGCTAAATTATGTACACACTCGATCAAGCAAACGAAAGTGCGGATATTAGGTTTACAGCACGCAAAGAAGCTTTTAAGACGTTCGACTAAATAAAGCCTTACACACCTGAATGGCGATTGCTTTTTTCGAAGCACCGCCAGGGTCGCATGTACGATTCGTCGCAGCTACACCGATTCCAAAACCTGACGTTGATAATTCTTTGTAGACTTTACATTTAACAACAAGAATCGGGATGGAGTTATCACTCATTGCATTGTGACATAATTGAAAGTGAAGATTATCTCATCTCAATGATTGACAGTAAAACCCAGTACGAGTGCAGCGGATTGCAATCCGCTGCACTCGTACTGGGTTTTTGTAAAGAACGAAAGACCGGTGACCTAAAGACGCTTCCTCAAGCGCAAAGCTACGGCAGCCCCGCTGCACGCGTCGTTTATTGCTTATAAAGTAAGGATAGAAGTGGTGGTTTAGCATGCTCTAGCCACAGGTAGGGATAATGGGCTAAAGCACTCATTACATGAAGGTACATCGTACGTTCTGCATGCATTGTGGAAATTGATAAAGAGAAATATTTGGTATGGAGTCTTCAAATGCGTACATGGCACTTATATGAAATCACAGACATTCCGTGTGATAAAGAATGCTAATTACGACTTGGGGATCTGTATGCGTGACCAGACTGACGGGTCTCTCTCTTTCGAAGTAGAATGGGTAAGCCTATTACTTCTACTGGTTACTTTTTTTTTTAACGAAAGTTGAAATTCTAGCTTTTCGAAATTCAAGTTCCGTACACCCAAGATCTTGTATAAGTTGAAGCTGAGGTTCGGCCTCGGTCCATCCTTGATTTATAAATCGGGAGACCAAGGTATTTTATTAAACCTCTAGCCCTTGGGGTACCTTGTATGTAGCCAGCAACCATTGACTCGTTTTCAATTAAGTTGCAAGTTGCTGCTTTAAAGACCTTAAGTCGCTCTTTTTCTCTGCAAGTCGAGGTTGTTTCTCTCCAACCGCGTCAAGAATTGCTTTCTCACCGCACACGCGTGTGTGTTGTGTTTGTGGGACTGTTGTGAACAGCCCCTTTTTACACTTTATTGAGATTGTAGCTTACATCGATGGGAGGTGACTTGTCAAGACATGCTGGCGTTGCTCGACGCGAACTTTGCGAGAGGGAGAAACTCGCTTGACTCTACGAAAGACGTCGTTTTGCTGCACAACACATCTTCCGAGGCACTACTCACACGCTCCATTTGACTGTCTAGCTCTATGTGTGTCATGCCGACATTAGTTATGTATCCAAGATGCCAAGCAAAGTATTTACGTAAATCTGGTATTTCGGCTAAATACAATCTCTTGAGGCAGACTATGTCAAGGAACTCCAGGTCTACAAAGACTTTCGCAGTCATTTCTGCCGAGATGTTGTCTGAGGCTGGAGTAAGATGCACCATTTTACTAAATTGGTCCACAAACACTAGAGTGCCACTTCGGCCGTGGTTGCATCTTAAGTATCAGTCCATACTAAAGGGCTTCCAGCTTTCCTTAGAGATAGGTAATAATTAAAGCTGAACCTGAGTAGACCCAGGTGGATGAAAGCTTTTACAAACCGCACAAGTACGCACATACTTGCGAACCCACATGTGCATATAAGGCCAAATACAATCTACAGACAAGTTTTTCAATTTCTAGATTGCCGCATCAAAGATTTTCATAATCCTCGCACAAGAGGCTATGACAAAAATTTAATCGTTAACAGACAACGATTCTCGCTGGACCGCTTTCGTCTACTTCGTGATACAGAAGTCCAAATTACATACTCTAACAATAGACTCGCAGTCTTGCCCGACCTTTCGTTTTTTACAAAAACCAATTATGAGTTAGCGGATCGCAATCCGCTTACTCCAAGAGTAATTATTGCCTTTCTAAAGCTAATCGACTCTTCGGTTTAAAATCCAAAAATGATTTTTATTTATTTGCGGCTAAATCGCCAAATTTTAAAAGTATAGATTTCCTAAATTATATAGTAAAATCTAAATACATCTATAAGTACTGGCTATCTAGCCACGTACCGTATTCTTGTTTGGGTGTGGTCAGACCATGCCATTCTGGTGTGACACGCACCTCTGTTTCCAGGGTACGTGCAAGCCCGTTACACATTCTGTATTACAACTGCGGTGATAGCATCGCTTTGCGATGCATGCAGAAGGTACGATGTACCTTCATTTAATGGCTACTTTAGCCCATCACCCCTACCTGTGGCTAGTGCATGCAAACCGCCACTCCTCTCTTTATTTTATAAGCAACAAATAAAGCGTGCAGCGGGGCTGCCGTAGCTTTGCGCTTGAGGAAGCGTCTTGAGGTCACCGACCTCTTGTTCTTTACAAGAACCAAGTCCGAGTGCAGCGGGTCGCAATCCGCTGACTCCAAGAGTACTTAAGAACCTTATCCAAGGCAAACTAACAAATCTGTTCAAAATCGAAACTGATTTTTATTTATCTTTTTATCCTAATTTTAAAAGTTTAGATTTTCTTCAATATACTAAATATATGTAGTAAAATCTAAATACTTGTATAACTACTTGCCATCTAGCCCCGTACCGTATTCTTGTTTGCGTGTGGTCACACCATGCCCATCTGGTGTGACACACCCCTGTTACCAGGGTATGTGTAATCCCGTTACACTCTCCCCCATAAAGATTGAGAACATCCACAGTTCCAATCAATTATTGTCTCAAATAGGCTTGCGTGGCCGTTAGACACTGCGTTCAATCGAAACGACTTCCGTGCTCAATGAGCCCTGTGTCAATGTCACCAAAATCTCCAAGTCTCGCTGGTTCTGACGGCGAGCACGGGAAGTGCCCAACCTCGTCTCCCGCACGCGGTGCAACGTCGGACAGTGCGGCCGCAGCACCAAGGGATGTATATAACGATGAGCACAAGCGTCGCGCTCCGCGCACGCTTTCAGTGCCGAGTGGCCTCGTTGATGATGTGGAGGCGATCGGCTGTGAGTCTGACACTCCTTTTCTCGCATGGGAGGACGAGGAAGGTGAGCTGCGCCAGCGGCGTGATACGAGCCCTGCTCACGCCTTGCGGACCCCATGTCCGTTCCCTGACTTCTCGTCAACCGAGGAACGTGGAGTAATCACCAATGGCCTCGACGACGCTCAGAGGCGGCAGCTTGAAACTGCCCATAAGGCGGCTCTAAAGCGCACCCATCCACGGCCGGTTATTGACCCTCGCGTGGAATATGGTTTCCGCCCAGCGGATCCCGCTGTGGAAGCAAAGGACGCGGAAACTCGATCGTTACGCGTCCACATCATTGGACTCCCGGCCAGAACGGATGATGGTGATGAACCTGCCAAACGGTAAGCTCTTCGAGCTCGTTTCTTGGTCCCACAAGAAGTTCCGTTGGACGTTTATCGCACTCGTCTACGTGCTCAACGAGGTGGCTCTCGTGCACCCGCAATGCGGACGATAGTTGTAGTGCTCGCCCTGGCAAAAGTGCTACAGATGACGAAGCGATCTTTGAGCGATGAGTGCAACGGCACTGGAAACTTTCCCAACTGTACAACCTACAGTTGAGCCACAAGGAAGTGGACGAGCGTGTGCTGCGACTCCTCCAATTTGAGTTTGCCAAACTCAAGGCACGCCGTCGGCTCCCTTCAGATTGTCGCCCTGCGACGTATGGGTTAACCCCTAACGCTCCCGTGAGCTCTGTGTCCACGG